TAATGTGTGAAGTGGTAGCTAGTATCTAGATACTAACTCAAACAAAGTAGGTAATTGTAATAAAATATCAAATTCAGATAAATAATAATGTTTGAGTGGTAGATACCAACTCAAACAAAGTAGGTAACGGTAAATTTCTATGCAGAAATTCTCTCATAGAATAAAACATAGGCTGGCTCTTGGAGAGCTTTTTGAAGGCTTGATATAGTAACTTGTACACAGAGAAAGTTGCCATTTAGTAGTAAGAAAAACATAAATAGAGAATGTTATGAAACGGGAAATGACATGTACCTGTTCATCATTAAAATGCCTAAACAACTGATCAGCACATTGAGCAACAGTTATATAGTGGCCACCACCAGCTGTGTCTCCAATGTGACTAACAGCACAGTTAAATCTGTACTTTGCTCCAGCAAGGTTAATTGTTGGATTTTATCTAACATAAAGTGTAAGTTTTTTCAAATCCGAGGTGAATCTGGAGGAGAAGCAAATGTTCCATGAGTCTTGTGAAAACCTATTTTGAGTCCCAGTTTAATTATTCAAGTACCTCTTCAAATGAAGTACCAAAACCTCAGGTGGGTGTAATACAGCCAACTTCTTTGTCACAGTCACATATTTATGGCACTCAATACATTAGTAATTGTTGATTGTCTCAGCTTCGAAATATTGTGACAGACAAGTTGTAAGGATGGGATGGACACTGAGCGACAGGTCTTTCATTTCAGCCTGGGTTTTAGACTGTCTCTTACAAACATTGCAAGTCACTGAAACAGTATTGTTATAATAAAGTTGTGCATCACAGGATCACAGTACACTGAAGGTAACTCATTTCGTACCAATAGATTCAATAGTTGCACAAAAAATTTGGTTGACTGGGGACTTAATCGTGGGAGATCTGTTGGTGAACTGTTTGTCCATACTGTCCAGTAGCTTCAACAAAAACTCATGGCAGTCCTGTTGTCTTTTTTTGTCATACTCAGGCCAGAAATCTGTTGCAGCAAATATTTAAATTATTAGTGCAACTACATCAAAGATAAAAGACAACACTCCAGGATAAGTTAATCACACCAGAAAGGGAGTCAATTAGTGCACTTGGGTCCACAGTGGATTCCAGAGACTCAAAATACAATTTTGAGACAATACAGGACACACATGGTTTATTGTCGTTGAGGTCTAGTCCGAAACATGTTGCCCTGTGCGATGCCTCATCCTCACTTTTAACCACGACACAAATATTGGAGAGTGGAAAAGTGCCTAAACAGAGGTTGAAGATAATAAGTGCCAATGTCAGGAGACAGTAAGGAATTTCCAAAGGACTTCGTGGATATGTCAAATCAATACTGCTCTGACAGAGCAAGAAAGAATCTAGAATACTCTGCATACTTAGATACTCAAGTGTGAGACTGTCTAGAAAGTAGATGGACTTGGGGTATCACACTTTTAACTGTTAGACAGTATCATGCTTGACCTTACAGTGCGGGACTGTTTCGCAACATTACAACAAGAAAACAAAGTCCTTGGAAATTCCCAAATGTAACTGAGTGTTAATCTTTGAACAATACCAAGGAATTTTGAACAGTGTACAAAATAGATACAAATTCTACCTGTAAGATTGCAGCAGCAAAACATGTTGTCATCCCTAAGTTTTTGATGCCCTGCCTAGCAGTTTTGTTGTCCCATTTATGGGAGAGAGGGAGAAAAACCTCAGTTGTTCTTTTTGGGGAAGTGCACTATAACAGTGGAATCACACATCACATAAAGTAAAGAACACAAGACCAGGCAACCAGCTCAAACACTCACAATTGCACTACGCTCCTGAAGACAACCAGACAAGATTTCATGGACCATGTGCTCCCTCATAGTTGTCAGCCAATCAATCGAGGCTGTTACCTCCTGGCCTTCCGCAACCATCCTTGCATAGTGGCACACAAAAACACCACAGTCCCACCAATTGGGCTGTCGACCAATATTAGAGGCATGGCGCATGTTCCATTGACCAAATGGACCAGCCCTGCTCTTCCACTGATGCTCACATGTCAGGTATTTCAAAACACTCTGAAAATAAACAATAATTATAGAATTTCAAGTAATTCAAAATATTAAACAAAATTCCTTACTTCTAGACAGAGGCTGTTTCTGCCACCCTGTGAATCAAAGTACGTTATGTCTTTTGCCTTTGACTCGACTACACACAAGCACCAGTGGTCGACAAGGTGGACTGGTATTAACACCACATCACAGTCAAATAAGTCAACCTATCAGTAAGAAAACATTACAATACATGGTGCATAACAAATACCGTACTTGAGAGGAATGCAACATGTGACTATTTTAAATTTACGTTTTTGGTCCACTTCTTGATGGAAGGTATATCATGAACCATTTTTGTGTAAAATTGAGAACTAAACACATGAATCCTTTTGTTGGTTCCATGAGCTTGAATCAATTTCAAATAAAACAAAATGATCTGGAAATGACACTCATAATAGGCAATAATACACAATCTGAAATTAGTTCAAATGTACAAAATGTTTCAAAACAAGCTAAAGTTGTTAAAACCAAAGGTCATTACATCATCATGTAGCCATCCATTACGACCAGATAATAACAGGGGCAACACTTTTCCTGCTGTCATTGTAATGGAAAACTTTACAATGACCGTAGAGTCAGGTGGCAGATCACGAATGTCCTACAACAATATTCAATTACAGCACAAACTGAAGAAAGAGATTTAGTTCATTTAATACATATCTGCTATTAGAGACATTACTTCAATGCCATAAGTTTTTGAAGGAGGCTCCTCTTGAGGCTCCTCTTCTCCAGATGACAACACAATTGCTTTAGAAGCAGTTTTGCAAGCCACATCCAGATCTCTCTCTTTTCTTTCTCTTGTCTCTCTCTCTTTTCTTTCACTTGTCTCTCTCTTCTTTCACTTGTCTCTCTCTCTCTTCTATTTCTTGTCTCTCCCTCTCTTTTTTCACTTGTCTCTCTCTCTCTTCTTTCATTTGTCTCTCTCTCTTCTTTTTATGTCTCTCTCTCTCTTTTCTCTCTCTTGTCTCTCTCTCTCTTCTTTCACTTGTCTCTCTCTCTCTTCTTTTTCATGTCTCTCTCTCTTTTCTTTCTCTTGTCTCTCTCTCTCTCTTCTTTCAC